ACACAAGATGTAGTGTAGCAGCAATCTCTTGTTCAAAAAGAGAGTATCTGAGAAAATACTACTGTTGCAAAAGAAAAGAAAAGAAAACAAAAGTAATGGTGGCAGATGGAAGAAGAGACTGTAACAAAATTTCTTTTGCTTCAGTAAGATGCCCCATCTTATTCTTGCTACTTCACATTGTGCTAAATTCTACCACATTAAAAAGAGGCATACATATAAATGGAAATCACTCAGTATTGTCAATATAATTTCATCAGGTCTACTATTATACCTTGGAGACAACTGCTAATATAATTATTATATTATTTTAAACAATTGGCTTTCTTTATACAGAGGCTTGCAGATCATTTATTTGATCTAGGTATTTTGATCTTAGCCTTGTTCCAAATGAGATATTCAGTGTGCTACATAATTGTTTGATTCATTCTCATCTTTAGATGAGCTTAAGTTTATAATTGCATGTATGCACATGTACTCCCTCTTCTGATTATGGTTTTGCAGCAGTGCCATTTCCCTGGGAGAAGTGGCCATGACCCATGTTCAATGATATCTTCTGTTAAGAAATTTTCTATTTCATTGTATCTAAAGTGTTTATCTTTTCTCTCTGCGCATACATATGCACCAGCAGTCTGTACTCATTTCCAGTATACAATTAAATTATTTTAGAAGGGGAAGGGCAGAGAACATCAATATATACTGTAACGAGAACTCAAAAATTGTAAGCCTGTAAAAGGAAACAATTTGACAAAATAGTGCCCTAACTTTGTTTTTGTTTTTTGCTTACTAACATAAGCTCAATGTATATACTACATTATTAATATTTCTAGAGTAACAGTCTGTGAAAGAGCCTTGTGGCACCTAACGGGCTAACAAGTTTTACTTGGAATAAACATTTGTGGACTGCAGCTCACCTTAGCATAGATTATGTAGCAGATGCAGAGGTCTCCTCTTAATTAAAACCATTACAAACGTTTTCTCCCCAAGTGAAACTATTTAGAAAAGCAACTGGATCAAACCATTAGTATAACAGAGGATAAGTGACATATAGAGCAGTTTTGAACATTACAATATGCCCAGGGTTCTGAGAACTTATTATTATTATATTATGAGGACCGTTCTCATACAAGCTGCCTAACGCTAGGGTGTGGCTAAAATTTATTTATTTATTTTATTTATATCCCGCCTATCTAATCAGTTAAGATTACTCTAGGCGACATCGACTTTTTTTCCTTGTGGCTTGCTTACATCACATCCAAACCTGGGGAAGCAGGCATGTTTGTGGCCTCTATCCCCACCCAACAAGCCAGAGCAATGAGGAAACAAGCTGTTTTTGTTTGGACATGATACTAGACAAACCAGAGACAAAGATCCATGGTTTTTTTAGTTCTCCGACTTGCAAAGGGAGTAATCAGAGAGCATGCATGAGCACACTGGCTCATTCATGATAAGCTTGTTGTGATGTCCAAATACACACTCTTTTCTGAATATCATAAATCTCCATTTACCTGAACATACAACTGGAGACCAAGACCAAGATAATCCACACTCTTGCATTTCCGATCACCATGTATGGGTTTGAAAGGTGGACAGTTTAGAAAGCTGACAGGGAAAAATGTTTAATTTGAAATGTGGAGCTGGAGGAGAGCTTTGCAGATATTCTGACTGCTGGAAAGCAAAAAAGTACATCCTAGATCAAATCAAACCTGAACTATCTCTGGAGGCAAAAAAAATGTTGAAACTGTGGCTGCCCTACTTTTTTACTGCAGAGAAGAATATTTGCCTTTACCATACTAACAATTCGTAATCAAAAGTTTGATTCAAAGCGGGCTTAATCCAAACTTAAGTATGACACTTCCTGTATCATCTCTGTCAAATCAATGTCTGTCAACATGACCTATCTTGTGAAGCAGAACACTATAGTTGAAGTGATGTTGATGCAAATGTAAGAAATAAGAGCTTTAAGCAGATAAAAAAATTTGTAGTTTTTATTAAAAGCACCAGATAAAATGATTCCTCTTCAAGAGTCAGTCAGTTTGAAAAATTGAGATGATACAACAACAAAATGCCCTATAAATTATTTTTAAAGCATTGGAGCGATTTAGACATGATGACAAGTATCTAGAAAAAAGAACCCACCCACCTCTCTCTACTACAGTAGTTTAGCTCCAACCAGTTTCTAAAAACGCAAAATAATAATAATATATAGCTGCATGATAGTGGTTACCAAAACAGTGGTATTGAATATTTTATTACTAGAATCCACAATTCATTTGCTTGCCCAATATGAATTATTTTCTCATTCACCAGTGAGTTGCACAATGCATGAGACTCCAACAACTCTTTCCTCTTTTTCTTTTATTTGTGGAATGCATTCCAAATAAGGAAATATGCAAAATAGTGCCTAATAGGTCTCAGGATTTGTGCTGCCTATGTACCTTTTATACAAAAGAGTACAAGTAAACTGCGCAAAAATAATGGCATAAAGACCTACCAAACCAGGAAATACAAAGAATAAAAATAACCAGGTGACCTTTTTCTCTTTGTATTAAGTAAATGTTTTAATATGAGTTTATTGAGAATTGTTTCTAATTAATCTTTACAGTAACATGTCATGTGCCACTTAATTTGTAATGGCAAACATGTGGATCTTCAGTTTCACTTTGGTGGGAGAGCTATCAACAGATTTTTATGATCTTCAACAATTTCAGTGCTAATATAGTACTGGTAAAGCAAGTGCCATATTTTTTCTGATTTAGCATTCCACCGAGTGGCTTAAATTAAATGTATTGCTTAGTGAGGGAGCAACTGGACAGACGTATTAGGATGAGGAATATTTTCACCACTAAAAAGGAAATCATGTGTTGTTCCTTTATAGAACTATTATGTGTTCATTTAAGTAGGTGATTTCAAATTCTGAATGTATTTAGAATTTGAAGTCAGGAAACACACGTTACATAAACAACATGATAGAAAACTTTGCATACTCATTTATTAAAATTACTACTTATTAGCATTCCCTCTCTTCACTAAGCAAACAAACTCAGGTTTCAAATTTTATGTTGCAGTCTGACCACAACAGCGTGCTATATAGCTACAACTATATTTTAAAAGTTTGATGACTGCAGACATATACAGGTAAGATAAACATCCATGCATATTATTATTGTGTGTTTCTTTATGGATATATATACATATTCAGCATGTATACATTTCTGAAACAGCGACGTCTACGTTGGCTTGGGCACGTTGTGAGAATGGCTGATGGTCGGATTCCAAAGGATCTCCTGTATGGAGAATTAGTGCAGGGAAAGCGCCCCAGAGGGAGACCACAGCTGCGATACAAGGATATCTGCAAGCGGGATCTGAAGGCCTTAGGAATAGACCTGAACAGATGGGAAACCCTGACATATGACCGTTCAGCCTGGAGGCAGGCAGTGCATCATGGCCTCTCCCAATTTGAAGAGACCCTTGTTCAGCAGGCCGAGGCAAAGAGGAAGTCACAAAAGCAGCAAAACCAGGGAGGTGGACAGGGGACAGATTGGATTTGTCTTCAGTGTGGAAGAGATTGTCACTCTTGAATTGGCCTCTTCAGCCACACTAGACGCTGTTCCAAGTCCTCCATATAGAGCACGACACCATAGTCTTTTGAGACTGAAGGATGCCTAATCTAATCTATGGACACTTACCTTATTTAAGCTATTAATAAACCTAGAGTCTAAAAGTATGACAAAGCAGAAAATGTGCAACAGCTTTGTGGAAGAATTGGTACCACTTCCACAAGAACAAACATTAGATGGATTAATTTTTAATAAACCATGAGAAAGTAAGGGTCCTTGTATTCTTCACCGACACACACATTCTGAAAGCAACTTCAGTGAACATCACGGTGACAGCTTCAGTATAACAATTCTGATCCTAGCTTCCTCTTACTGTTTCTGAACTGTGTAATAGGTATCCTCACTGCAAAGTCATTATCACAGCTTAGCATCAGAGAAAGAGGTATATCAACAAGAACAACAATATCGTAAGCGCCACAAACATCAATCAAATGTGTCAAGTGCTCTGCAGAGACACCACAATTTTCCAGTAACTGCCAGCTTGTTTTTGAACAAAATATTTTTCTTCATTTCTAGTTTAATATTAACAATTAAATAATCCAAGGCTTTGTAACTTGCTAATCAATACAGATGCATCCCACTGCAATTCAGTGCAATGTGTTACTAAGAAATTGTGTGCAGTATGCAGAAAAGTTATGAGCTTCAAAGAGTTTCAAAAGCAGTCTAAAATTTATCAAAGCCAGTTAGTTACATGAATTCCAGCTCTAAAAGAATGCCTTCATCATTAAAACCTACTTTCAAGTCATAATTTCATTTCAAGAAATAAAACTATACTAGCCACTTGAAGCACAATATGACTAAGGACACAGAATCCCTGCTGGCCTCCAGAAAAATATCTGTTTTCTGTTTTAAACAGATACAACAGCTTCATCCCCAATATCTTTGCTGTTACAGAAATATGATGATTTCAAAACTTTTATTTATTTATTTAAAATATTTTTACCACACCTTTCTCCATAAAAGGACCGAGGCAGCTTTGTTGCCACTTTATAAACATTCTTTCAGTCTGTTCCAGAAAAATACATAGAAAATACCAGGCACTGCCTAGCCAGCCAACTGGAAAATGTGTTGATCCACAGTTCAACTTCTTTATAATGGAACACATACATGTAATATAAGTTCTTGATGGGAATCTCCTTGAGGAAACACAAATTGTGCTGAAAGATATGTGTGTATGCATTTGTATGCAACAAATGCATACACACACATATTTCAGCACAATTTGTATTTCCCTAAGGAGATTCCCACCAAGAAAGAACGCATCAAAAAAGCCAGTGTTTTGTGTTTGTAAGTCTGGAGGACGCTGGAGTCACTTCTGTAATATGGTACCTTTTCTCATATGGGACAAAAAACCATTTTAAAAAGGACAACTAGAGCACTGACCTGCACAGGTTCAGGAGTAAGCTGGACAACATGCTGCATACGTTCACTGTGATGGTGCCTGGACTCTTCTTCATAGATAACATCCCTCTCATGCTGGGGAAGATTCAGGAACCGTCGAATAGTGCACAGATTTTCCCAGAGGGTACGATTTTCTGGACTTGGATTTTCTTTCCAGCGGAGCAGTTCACATAGCCAACCCTGCAATGGAAAGTCAAAATAACTGACTTGCTTGGTACTAGCGAACTGGTAGACAACATTGTTCTGTTACGCTGGAGCAGTTCTTCTGTTGTCCCATCTCAGTATACTATAGGTAACACTTCCAAATTCATGTCCCATTTCAGACAGCTTATGTGAGAATACTTAAAATCATTTCAAATTTCCTATGGATGTCAGTTTTTTCAAACTGAGATGGTTTTTAATCTCAAAAACATGAATCAAAGGATTGAGGTCTGGCACAAATGGGAACTCTGACAATTCCTCTCATAAGTGGACACTTCTTCATAGATAACATCCTTCTCATGCTGGACAAGATTCAGGAAGCATAGAATAGTGCACAGTATTCTTTCCTTGACGCCAGATACTAAGCACCCAATACAAAAACTCATACAGTAAGATTTGTTTAAACACATATTGATGAAGCAAATCAACTAGATTCCTAAATGAAGGAGAGATAAAATATGTTGTTATATCTATGTTATCATTTGTAAGTCAGCATGTGCTGATTAAGATGAAAATTGGCATGCAGGAAGACCCTTTTGAGAGCCCTTCCTCAATAACAATCAGGAGAGGAAAAACACTTTGAACTGCTGAATGTCAGCTTCCCAGACCTAGAACAATTTGGGAAAGTACAAAGAAGAGATAAAGGGTGTGTATACCTGAATTGTTAGCAGTAACTAAGAGCAAGAAGTCTGGAAATCAACTACATTTCTAGTTTCACATTCTTGGAAAAAGTGTTGACATATTCTGTCAGTCATCTAATCTAGTGGTTCTTAACCTTTGTTACTCGGATGCTTTTGAACTGCAACTCCCAGAAACCTCAGCCAGCACAGTTGGTGGTGAAGGCTTCTCGGAGTTGCAGTCCAAAACTCCTGAGTAACCAAAGGTTAAGAACCAGTGATCTAATCTACTCTTTTAGCTTTTGTGAAAACTCAGAAGAACACGGGAGGAAACAGAGCAGGATCTCCCTCAAGAGTCTATGAAGATGTGTAGAAGTATGTTTGCTAGAAAACTGTACAGATTTCCTTAGAATGGTCACCAAGCTTCCAGAAAGAACAGATACCCCAGCAGCTGATTAGCGGTGCCACCTTCCCCCAGCTCCTGCTTCCCCTCAAATTAACTTGCTACATTTTCCCAGATTTTAAATTATTAGCAGAATTCTCCCCAATAGTCAATGCACAGACATAACACTTGTTTTGAGAAAAGGATAATGCAATAACAATAAAAACAGTTAAATATGGAAGTGTTTTTAACCAGTTAACAAATAGTGTCCCTTATGCCCAATGGTTAATACTAACCATAGTGCACAAGGACAGTATTTGTTAACTGTTAACTTTCATACTTGGCTACTTCTGTGTAGAAGAGAGGTACATTTATCTACATTTTTAAAAAGTACTTTGTACACCTGCAATGCCTTATCTGACAGCAGCCGTCTCTAACACAACAGTGACTGATTCATTCTTTCTTGTGCTTTTATGAGAAAAAACCCAACACAATAATAAAGTAAAATAAAACATACATTTCCAATGACTTGCTAAGTTAAATAGTTGACGGTTTTATAGCCCATGCTTTCAACTGGGAGCTCAGTTTTTTGACAGCATATGCACAACCCAAACAAAGATACATAATATATTCTCTTCCTGTTGACATCGAAAGGGCTTGAGCAATTTTAGTAGGATTGTGACTTGTGTTAAGAAACACTAAAATGATCTGTTTTAGGGTTGCAGATGTTTTCTTTGAAAGCCATATATAAAAGTACCTAAAGGCACACGTTTGTCACTGGCCTCCCAAAAATCACTGAAAGATTTTGGTATAACAAAGCCTTACAAGCCAGTGACAGCTCCTGATGAAAGGTGATATTTTAAAAAAATACTCTCATATAATATCATGTCATTGTTCGTCTAACTCTCCACTATGTCTTCTGCCTTTACCCCCCACCCCACAAGGAAAAAAGGCAAGATTTGATTATCTCCGCTGCATCAGCCAAGACAGCAACACCAGCTGTTCTCATTGTGCAGCCTCTTCCTCACGGCCTACATGTTAATAACCTGATCATTCCATTTTCTCCTTCAACTGCCGGCTGCAGCACAGTGAAGAGACAAAAACCCAGGCCCATCTGCAGCAGCTGTAGGCACTGAACTGTGAAGCCACTGGGGATTTATAAACTAATCTGTAACACAACACTGCCTTGTTTTTACAAGTGAGAGGCCACATTTGTGCAGACCTGATATTTTCTTGCAAGAATCTGGTGGGGGGAGAGATGAAAAGGAGATATCTGATCATTTGCTGGGAATAAATATCTGTATTTAGTATTTCAGACAGTATGTATAGGTAACCACAGAATCAGGTGGTAAGTGACTTGCATAAACATTTTCATCCTCTCACCCCAAATCC